CTAGGATCCACGAGCTCCATCTTGCTCGATCCCTAAATGCCTCGGCTGCACCCGACGCCAGGATCCACGAGCTCTGTCTGGACCCATCTCTAAAAAACTGCCTCGACTGCCCCCGACGCAAGGATCTGTGAGCTTCGTCTCGTCCGATCCCTAAGCGCCTCGGTTGCGCCCGACACCAAGATCTGCGAGCTCCATCTCGCCCGATCCCCAAAACTGCCTTGGCTACGCCCGACGCCAGGATCTGTGAGCTCCATCTCGCCCGATCCCTAAATGCCTCAGATGCGCCCGATGCCAGGATCCACGAGCTCCATCTCGACCGATCCCTAAAACACCTCGGCTACGCCCGATGCCAGGATCTACGAGCTTCATCTCGCTCGATCCCTAAACGCCTCGGCTACACCCGACGCCAGGATCCGCGAGCTCCATCTTGACCGATCCCTAAAACTGCCTCGGCTGCCCCCGACGCAAGGATCAACGAGCTCCGTCTTGCCTGATCCCTAAGCGCCTAAGCTGCGCTCGACGCCAGGATCCACGAGCTCCGTCTCGCTCGATCCCTAAAAGCGCCTCGGCTACCCCAACGCCAAGATCCACGAGCTCCATCTCGCCTGATCCCTAAATGCCTCGGCTACGCCTGACGCTAGGATGTCCCTAAAAACTGCCTTGGCTGCGCCTGATGCTAGGATTCGTGAGCTTCGTCTTGCCCGATCCCTAAAACTGCCCGCGGACAAACCCCCCAGCTAATTCCGCCCGAATCACCTGGGGGCTCGGGGGCTACACCCACGGGTACGCTCACGTGCACCCGCTGACAAAACAAAACTTTCCCCGCTGGCAACACGAAAAACCCCCCAGACGATTCTACCCGAATCGCCCAGGGGCTCGGGGGCTACACTCGTGGGTGCGCTCGCGTGCACCCGTCGTCAAGACTAAAATCCCCCAAACGATTCTACCCAAATCGCCCGGGGGCTCCTGTCGGGTTCATAAACCCGGGGTCTCTCATGGACCGACTTCCCAACAAAAGCTTGTCCCAGCAGACAACATTGCGAACGACGCGCAATTCCTAGGCCGGCCCAAATACCTAAAACGAACAGGCCAGAAGGGAGATCCAATCTCCGACCGGAAGGTCTGACCGAAGAGGAATGACGCCCGCCTCTGACTCTGGCCCGCCTCTCCGACCGGAAGGCCTCACTAAGGAGGAACAACGCTCGCTTCCGGCTCTAGCCCGCCTCTGGATGGCCTCTCCGATCGGAAGGCCTGGCCAAACACCGCTCCCGACTCCGACCCGCGTCTCCGACCGGGGATGCACCAAACCTCTGCTTACAGCTCTTCTCCGACTGGCACAGTCGGAGCCGACTGGGACCAACCGACCGAGGACGCCTGCTTGGTGAGGACCATAAAACGAATGGAGAAAGTAAGGCAGGACACTCAAGTCAACCGCAATACCGAGGACCGTACCTTGTACACCTGCGGGACAATACCAACAGGGCATGTCAAAAGGGTACCTTGCAACCTTCCTAGCATGTCAGAACCCAAGCATTATGGGCGCCGCCATTTGCCCTACAGTGTTGTGGGCGCCATCAACTCCCATACCAGACAAACATGGTAAGGCTCCCCCACATGCCTCTGGGCATCAACAGTGTTGTGGGCGCCGGCATTTACCATACCAGGCGAACATAGTAAAACCCCCTACATGCCTCTGGGCATCAACAGTATGCCAGGCACCGACGTCTGTCATACCAGAAGAAGAAGACGCAACCTCCCACGTGCATCTGACATTAACAGTGTTATGGGCGCCTACAATCATCTTGTACCCGACAGCGTGGGCAACAAGATTTAGCATACGTACACTCTCCCTCTGTCACTTGTAAAACTATCCCCTTCATCTATAAAAGGGGATGCGCTCTCTCCCAAAGAAGGAGATCGGATCAGTTCACTCACACACAACAACAGAACCACTAGGTCCAAACCTCAAGCACACGCTCAAACACTTAGCATATAGCGGAGCTCCCGTCACTCTCGGCCCTTCAGACCAGAGTCCGACCGGACCTCTTGTACCCCCCATCTTTCTCCCTTCCGTTTGTAACCCCACAACAAACTTCAAGCACCCGGGCTCAGGAATAAAGTCACCGACCGACTCAAACTGGACGTAGGGCACGTTGCCTGAACCAGTATAAACCATGTGTCATTGAGTGCTAGGCCACATCCGATCACAACGTACAGCAAAACTATAAATATTTACGTGTTGGTCATTTTCTGCACCGACACATTGAGTGAGGAATATTTGAGAATATTCAGTAGTGATGATTAGAAAGCAACATGAACATTATGAGGCATGGTGGATCATTCGATGTTGTGTTTCTTTGAAACCTTTTTTCAACGGCTTCAATAGATCATTTGGAGTTCTCTCTGACCCAAGATAGTTCCACACACATAGAGAAACTTTGTGCAGGGTTTGAGGGTAGCTCAAGTGAAGAAGAGTGCTTGAGACTTGAGAGTGGTTTAGTTTGATCCTTTTACTCTTGGCATGAAGGTTGATCAAGTGAAGATTGAAAACCTAGTACTCTTGGAGTTTGTCTGCTCCTAGATAGCTCAGTGGAGGTTTAGGTGACCTTTCCGATGGAGATCTTGTTAGGAGGCTTTTAGAGATGTGTTTAGTTTAAGACCTGCCAATCTAGAGTGGATAATGGGTACTTCTAGTGGTTCTTGAGCCTTGGTGACTCAGGGGAGCAAACATGGATTAGGTTGTAGTGGCAACTACTCGAAACCATACGAAAAAACCAACTGTCCCTTTTCCTCTCTTATTTTCATGAATTTTACTCTTGTCGCCTATCTTATTGTATGTTAATCATTGCGTGAATCTTATGATAGGTTTGCTTAGTATGTTTCTCTAGCTAGTTTCCTTTATGCATATCTTCTAATTAAGGACATGGTCAATGTCATGGCCTAAGGACTCGTTTTAGTGTGCTTTTATAGAAGTTTAAGGGCTAGTTCTTGCTTTGGGGCCGTTTGGAACAAAGGATTTTCGTAGGAAAATCAAAGGAAACAAAAACGCAGGAATGGGAGGACACTAGAGCGTTTGGAACATAGGAAAGTAATCTTTTCTTTCCTATGGAACACTGTAGCTTCTTTGCGGTTTCACGGGAAAGCAAAACTCCACTCCATTTCTGATTCCTTCGCGGAAGCCCAAGGTGACTACGGCGATAATTCATCGGAAGAATGGTTGTCTACTGCTAAAAGCGGGTGGATGAGTAAGTGCATGGGTCCCACAATTGTAAAAAGAGCCTGGTAACTACTGACGTGTAGTTTGATTATTCGTTTTGCGCTAAGTGCATGGAGAAAGATGTTGTCTAGATTTTTATTTGGACCCAACTGTAGCAACATGGTCCAGTGGCACCACATGTAAGGGGGTCATGGGAAAAAATGTGCAACTAACACAGTATATCATTTCATTAAGCATTAATAATGACTCTTTATCATTCACAGTCTTATGATTCATGTGTTATGGATTCATGCGTTCCAAACACCCTTTCTTAGTTATTTTCTGTATTTTTCCTTTCCTTTGTTCTACCACTACACACTCACCTTATTCCTGTGTTTTTTCCTATTCTTGTGTTTTCGATTCCTGCATTCCAAACAGATCCAATTTATGGGTGAAGTAGTATATACTAGATTAAAGTTTGTTCGATCATATTTTTTGATCCCTGCAATATGGCGGGCTCATGGCCTCATGGGGCAGCTGGCAACGCGGGTGTGGAAGTGCAGTGGCCTCCGGCGTCCATGGAGGTGGGAGCTGCTTGTGATGGGAAGAGCAACACCGTTGGAGTGGAGTGCAGCAGAATGAAGGCTTGGCGTTGGTGACGTAAGCCGTAGCCGTAGTTGTCCTCGTCCATGGTGCTGCTCAAATGCAGATGCTGAGGCCAGCAGTGTCGTTCGTCTTTCTCCTTTCCTTTCTTGTTCGTGTTCGTTGTGTGAGTTCCTCTCAGCAAATTCGTCGTGTGCTTGGCAAACTTGCAAGTTCCTCGTGAATTTAGTGTAAGCAACGTGACTGATAATATGTTTGAATCGATGTACTCAGAAGTCAGAATGTAAGTCGAGCGAGAAGATTGAACACAAGATTGAGAGAATAAAATTGCTTGCTTGATTGATCTCTTGTTGTTACCTATTTATATACGTGCGGCGTCCGACGCGCCTGGAAACGGTGATAGATGAGCAAGATGAGAGTTTGGATCGCTTTCTTGGGAAACTGATCCGCCCGGTGATCAGGTGTCTGGAATCTGGATGAACCTTAGGGGGTACATGCTCCACACACCAACCAAACTCCAAATGCACCATGTCTATCTGCGGGCCAACAGGAGGTGTTCAATACTAGGTTTCACATTCTGATTCTGACTATGTGCAGAGGTATTCGTCAAAAAACTATGTGCAGAGGTATAAAAATAGCTCCTGGGAGCTTACTAATGTCAGAACGCACTGGCGTTACAGAATCATGAGAAGGAGTACAAGGCCATGTTTAGTTCGGCCGATTCGGCGCCGACGAAATCACTGTAGTTGCACTGTAGCTACCGTGACGTTTGTTTTTATTCGGTAATAATTGTCCCATCATTGACTAATTAGGCTCAAAACGTTCGTCTCGCAAAGTACAACCAAACTGTACAATTAGTTTTTGATTTCATCAACATTTAGTACTCCATACATGTACCGCAAGTTTGATGTGACGGAAAATCTTCTTTTTGCATAGTACCAAAGTTAGGAATTTGGTGGAACTAAACCCAAGATTTTTTCAAGATCCTTTTGTTCGGTGTACAAAAGTTATTGATGAGCAAGTATACAAAACAGGTTTCATGATCCCTTTGTATGCATTTGTCAGAATTTGCCTACTGCTATACATCCTTATTATTATGCTTTGGCAAAACAAAAGTATTACCTCAACTTGTCATATGTATTTTCTATACTTACATAAGTAATAATCTACATTGGCTGTGTGGTAGAAAGAATTAATTTGATCAGAATTTGCCAGGACGCCAGAAACTCTTTGTAGCAACAAGAAATTGCTGTTTCACGACGACAGTTTCATAGTGTAGAGACTTCAGGATTGGGCGCATCTTTTTTATCATCTCTAATGTGTCTTTCAACACAAACCATCTTCCAGGTCTCAGTATTCTGTCGATTTCAACCACCACATCGATGAGGTCACACCTAAATAAAAGACACAAATATCACCGCAAGTTTCTGACAGAATGGGTGCACAAATAGCAGAAGTTATAAAGGTGTGAGAATTAACCTATTTGTATGACTTCCAATGAGATTACTCATGTGGAGAAGATCATAGGTACGAGGATAGGTGTTGAAAGACTCGCACCAGTCATGATATGCCCCAATCAAACCTCTGTTGAAAATAAGTGGCAAGGTATCTGGTTGACCAATTGGCGCAACATTCATAACCCATAAAGGTCGATCAATGAGTGCTGCCGCAAACCTGGTTCAACAAAAGAAGCTTGATTAGCATTCCCATCATGAAATGGAGTCTCCAATTAGTTTAATACCAAGTGATTGTTATGCAGATTGGCATAAATACAAAACAGTTAGGTCTTTGGTACCAGTGTAACAGTACGTTTCTGGGGCCTCTGCCTTACTGACTTTGCAGTAAGCCAGAAAGTAATAGAATAAAAAAAAAGAGTAACCACTTAAGGCATTGCTGAAGCAAGGATGATTATATTCAAGGCTTCAGGCTATGGTTCAGCATAAGTTATCCCAGTTTCAGTAACAAAAACTTTCAGATTCAAAGGCAGCACCCTGCTTTATCAACATATGCTTGGCAGATCTGCCAACCATTAAAAAAAAGGAGACTGGACTGCAAAAATCTCATGTTACATTATCTGTTTATAATCCCTTGTGCTCCATATATCAGAAACAATTGAAAGATATGGCAAGATGCTGTACGAGCATTAATATTCATATCGTACAAATTGATTTTAACTATATAACAGAAGTAGCAGTAGAAATCTGTCTTTACTTACCCTCCAAATCCAGCATTCATGTCCATTACATTGCGAATGCTTGACCAATTAAGCGGGAAGTCACTGAAATATACTTCTGAAACGAGCTGTTTCCAATACTTTGTATCAGCTTCAAACTTCTCTTTGTTAGAAGCAGAATCATCAGGACTTGCATATCTAACATCAAGTCTTTCAGGCCATGGAACAGGCCAATCGTATCTTTCATCTGAAGTGGTAATGGCAGTTGTGAAAAGGCAACTATCAAGAGGAGAATACCTGCAAAAGAAAAAACAAGGGCCATGGTATACATGACATTAGATAGAAAGATTGAATAGCACACATCATGTTAACACTATTTGTTTTTTTTCTCGAAAAAATGTTAGCACTATTTGTCAGTGAACCAGTAAAGTTATAATCAGAAATACGCATTTGGAGGCGACAAGACAAGTTTGATAAGTTGTGACCTACCAAGGAAAACGTGATCCATCTCTCTCGGAGCATAGAGGGGGTTCATTGGTCTTCCTTTCAGCATAGCAAGAATTCGATGCAGGCTTTTGATATATAACAGCTCCAATTCCATTGACATCTTGAGATTTTACAACTGTTCTCCAGCAGATTGATTTAGTCAGAGTAACCATTGCTGCACAAGCAGAAACGGACATTTCAATTAGCATGAAAAAATATTCACCAAATGACAAAATTCAGATAAAATCTCTAGGATGTTGTATATTCTTGATAGAATATATGATAGCCCACGAACCGTTCCAGTCGTCTTGGTCTCTTTTGTCTTGACGGTAGACAGGGGTTGCAGACCAAATGAAATATCCTCCAGGCCTTAGTACTCTATTAAGCTCCAACAGTGGTTTTCCACCTGCCATTCAAAGTGGAAGATTAATTAAACAAAATCAAGGAAAATAAGAATACACTTTACAAAACAGGAAAGAAAATATAAATACTACATTATTTTGGCTTTTATGAATATTGTGAAGAAATAGAATACTTGCCATTTGCATACCAAAGGACCCTGCATCTTGCACAGTGTACAACATCGAACGTATTATCAGGAAGTGGAAGCTTTTGTGTTCCAATTACTGCTAGAAATGCTGGAATTCCACGCTCTAGTGCAAACTGTATCTGAGCCTCATGCTCATCTTTTGGGGCAAATGACATAGTAATGACATTCCTGTCAAGCAGGTATCCACCAAAGCTGGCAACACCGCATCCAACATCCAAGATAGTTCTTGTGCGCCTTCCCCATTGTATGGTTGGCATAATCTAAACATGAAAGTTATCAACAGTAAGTTACAAGGAGATAAAGAGAAACAGCAAGTTGTTACAAAACTGATGTACTTGAGTATAAAATGACTAAACCCCAGCATAAGAAATTATATTTAGCAACCCAAGCACGCCCTTTATGTTCAACCCTAACCAGCAAAGACTCAAATGGCAAATGAACAGACTGAGCAGCGAGCAAGGCAGTGAAATTGATCAAAGGAAATACACAGGAGAAACACCTAAATTCGCACGATGCATGCAACTCACTTGTCTATCAAAGTACTTAACAAAATTCCTCTGCAGAGTTAAGCTGTCCCAACGTAGAGAAAAGTGATTTGGTAATGTTTACCTGTTCAACAAACTGAATGTATCTTCCCACGCCATCTTTGAATTGAGTTCCACCTCCAGGAAAAACAAGATAATCACCAGACCTTGTAACCCAGTTCTGATCTTTCTTATACTCCACCAGCTTTGGGTGAGGGACGTTGTTGTACCAAATCTGGATTTGCAGTTAAATGAAAAATACAATCAGATAGTCAGCCACCTAATGGCATAAAAAAAAAATATCTGTCGGACAAACATAATTATAAAGAGGAATTTACTAACTATCTTACCAAAGGATGCATTAACTGATATACCAGATTTGAAAGAAGTAGCCCCATAAGTTATTACTTATTTGTCATAGAGTCCATGTGCAGAAAGACTATCCTCTATCAACTATGTACTATAGAGATTCCAGATCCCCAGACGTATACTCTCACTGTGCTGCTTAGGTATAGCAAGTAGCAACTTCTAAAAACAGAGAACGTCCTTAGTTTGTAGTGCAAATTGAGTATTCTAATATGAGAATCAAAAGTTTTTTGGGGGGTCCCGATCCATGGCCTGTAGTTAGTAGATTAAAATAACGCTAGCACCGCTAGCAGCCCAACTTGACTATGATTCATGAATGCCGATTGCCGAATCATTGTAAGCAAAAGAGCTTGAATTTTATAAACGAATAAACCAAAGAGGATCAACAACCAGAGCCACTTCCCTCCCTTACCGACAAAGGCAAGCGATGGTAGCGCGGGAGGTCCTCACCATGTCACGGCTCCGCGGCCACGGCACAGGCGTACGGTACCCTGCGGGCAGCGGCACCAGGCATCTGAGCCGGGGCGCCAGGGGGCAGTGCCGCTCCCGGTGCTCCATGTGCCGCCTCGACCGCAGCGCCTTGATCGCCCGCACGTTGTCCAGGCACGGGATGTAGTCCGTCGACGACACGCCCCTCCCCAGCCTGCTGCACGTCTGCCACCTCACGCTCACCGGCGGCACCTCCTCGTCGTCCCCACCTTTCTCCACCGGGGCGACGCTTGTATCCGTCTTCCCGTCCGCCCCGACTCCCCTGGCGTCGCTGTTATCGCCTGCTCCCGGCGAGCCGCTGCCACCGCTGCCTTCCTTTGCGGATGGTTCCGATGCGCTACTGTTGACATCGGATTTTGTGACGACTGGTTGCAATGCACTAGCACCAGTGCCCTCCTCCGCTTTTTCGGTGGCGCTCGAGCCATCTGGTGTCGAGTGAGGTGGGCTTCTCGTAGGGGTGTGGTTTTGCTGTCGGGGAAGAAGAGGAGGTGCGAGGGAAGGGGCTGAGGCGGAGAGACGGGAGGGGAGGAAGGCGAGCGATCCAGGTGAGGGGTCGAGGAAGAGGAAGAGAAGGACGAGGATGGCGGAGATGAGGAGGAAGAGCGAGAGCGAGAGGAGGAAGGGCCGCCTCGCGCGGTCGGAGGAAGGGACGGCCATCGCCCCTCCGCGGCGTCACTGGTGCGGCGTTGAATTGTAATCTGCTTGGGCCTTGGGGAGTGGAACCAACCGGAGGAGTGAAAGAAGAAGGCGGCAGTGGCGGGTGGTGGGGTTCGGCGGGCGGGTGGGCGGGTGGGTGGGTGGGTTTGGAGTGGAAGCGGACCGTCGCGGCCACGGCTGCTGCGTTGGCGCCTCGGCGGCCGCGGTGGAGGATGGCGGGTGGGGAAGGGGAATGGTGCTGGTCGTTTTCCGATGGTGGCTTGGAGCTTTTGATTTGTTTTCACTTCTTTTTTTCCTGATCATGAGTTTGTTGCTACACTACACACTGCGATCTCGAAGGGTGCTCAGTTCTGATTTCTCAGCTAACTATAAAGGCCAGAGACAAGGGTTAATTTGAGTTGGCGTAGTTTTTTTTTAGGGATGGCATAGTACACAGAGTCTGTCTAGTATGCAACCATGTGTTTTATACAGTTTCAACACATGAATTTTTTTACACCATAGAATTAAAATTCAACTGTCTCCACTCTTCTTTGGCCTCCGGTCTCAGCATCCACAGATCACGTATCACACATCATGACACAATTTTTTTTTCTACGAAAGCACAAATGTCGTCGGCGGCGACGGCTGCCATGGCCGGCTTTTAACGCCCTGTTCGCTTGGTTGTAAACAATCGTAAATTTCTAGCTAAAACAATATTTTTCTCTTACACCAAAACAACTGACAATAATAATCCACGATCCTATATACGATCAGCACCAGCCGAACAGGCTGCAGTCTGCGGACTCGAACACAACAACCTCCTCTTCGGCGCCCGCGTAGGCAGCGGACTTCTCTTCGGGGATGAGTTATTGTCTGACGTACACGTACCTGGTCGAAGAGGAGCCGGTGGGAGTGGATCCCGGCACGATAGCGACATCCACCTCGACGCCTCGGACGCATGGAGAGGATGTCAGAGTCCTGCTGCAGTGCTGCGCGGAGGTGGCTGTGAAGAGGACTCGAGTATTACTCTCTTTCTATCATATTAAATCTTTAACACATACATAGAATATTAAATATAGAAAAAAAAATAACTAATTACAAAGTTTGATTATAAATTACGAGACGAATCTTTTGAACCTAGTTAGACAATGATTAGACAATAATTATCAAATACAAACAAAAATGTTACCGTATCAAATACTAATTTCTAACCACAATCTAAACCAGGCCAAAATCAGGGACGATGAAGACAATGGTGCCGTCGCTTGCCTGAGACCCTGAGTAGAGCTGTGACCGTGCTGATAGGGCCACAAAAAAAATCCATGTGTTTTTTTTCTAAAACAAATGTATATTGTATAGCATTAAATGATGAGTAAATTTGAGTTCTCCAGTGTAAAATTAAGTCGGACAATTTAAGAGTTTACCTGATCGGTTGTTTTATGGTAAGAAATAGTTTGAACCATCTAGCTATGCTACATCAGTCCAGTAATTTATGATTTGCTAATCAGTTTTGGTTCTCGGTTGAGTTGTGACTAAGGATGGCAACGGGTATATACCCGTCGGGTATCGCCGGAACGTTCTCTTCCCCGTTACGGAGAATTTATCCCGTCCCTATCCCCATTAACTGTCTCGGGTATAGATTTTTGCCCATCACTGTACCCGTCGGGTATCGGTCGGGTAACAGATACCCGACGGTACTGCATACCCGATAAACAAGGACACTTGGGGTCACAGCTTTGCAATCGGAGACGTTTCTTCTTCACCCGGGTATAAGTGTCGGAGTCTCGGAGATGCCGAAGAGAAGGAGTGAGGTTGCGAGCAGGACGAGCAAAGGTGGTAGAGAGACCGAACTGAGGAAGCGAGGGACACGAGCGCTCGTAAGACATGTGTGCTTGTGCTGCTGACGGAGATGGTGAGGAAAAATTGAACGAGAGTTCCTAGAACACACAAACTATATATATGACTGTTCAGATTTGGACCAAAATACCTATGTTGAGTTTCTTTGAACCTAATACTCGCATGATAGCTCAAATAGTCGGGTTCCCCAACGGGTAACGGGGACAGGTAAACAGAGAACGTTCCCGCACCCGCTATACCCGTCGGGTATAGATTCTTGCCTATCTATATGCCCACGAGTAAAGATATGATCCCATCCCCGTCCCCTAGTAAATCAAATACCCGTTGGATATCGGGTTCCCGTTGCCATCTTTAGTTGTGACTTGTGACAATAGGAGTCGACACCGATTCACCCGGGGTGTATTTCTCGAGCATTCATTGGTGGCAGAAACAAGGCGTACTAATTATTTGCCACAGGTTTGTGTGACTAGATGAAACAAGCGTAAATGGATTTGCTTCGCCTATAATCAATAATCAGTCACCGGAGTACAGGACTCATGATCACACACCTGAGATCAGCTCAGGCTGTCAGTCAGTCGCTAGGAAATGTCAACGCCTCTAGTCTAGAACGATAACACTGCCATGCTTCAGTGGCAGGACCTAAACAGAAGCAAATATTCCGTGAGGCAAAAATTGTGACAAAACAGCTGGCACATTGGAAACTATCTGATTTGCGATTGCGCACGGTGTTGGCGCTGGTCCTCCTTCAACTTCTCCCTGGGCGAGAGCTTGTTGCCGATCAGTGTGATCTTCCAGCAGTCTGCTTTAAGTATGAAAACTGAACCAGCTTTTGGTACAACTGCAGGTTCCAAAGTAGTAGGTTGCTTAGAAAGTCTACAGTTTAGTATAACAGAATTTCACATGCGCAAGAGATATCAATAACGGCAAGCCTTTGATAATAACATTTGAAAGTCTACAGTTAGAAACCTCTGATCATGAAAAATTTCATGAGCCGTAAAGGTGTTTCGTTCAGAACAAAGGCTATGGATCGCAAACAATTATTTCACAACTCAACGAGTATCCTATGGAGGTAGAGCTATAGAAGAATGGTCTAACAGCATTTACAGTAGATGGAATCTAACAATAGAACAAGGCTGATTAATCACTTTAAGGGCCATTTTGCTACACAAAATAAAATACAGCTAATGCAAGTTATTCACAATACAGCACCAGAAAGAGAAGGATAGGTACCTCGGAAGCGGTTGTCCTCGGATATAATTCCAAATGTCTCTGCAGTATCCCGAATCATGATGCCGTTTACACCTTCATATGAAGCAGATTTGCATTCTGCCACTGGATACCTCAAAGACATGTAAGCATGATTGAATTAAAAGAAAGTGGAATAAAGTAAGTCAGCATATGGATCACCTATTAGAAGGGCCCCATGAAGATATGCTGAAAGGAGGTTTTCAGACAATTTCTTTTTCCTGTGGGGAAGACAGGACATGTAATTAGCTCATATAGGGTACAGATTACAGGAACAAGCACAATGACAGGGTTTACATCCAAGTTTTCCAAAAGATCGAGTTGGTCCCCTTCTCTGAGCGCGCTTGTTTTGCACTCAGGATAATCATTGCCTTTCTTGTTTGTTCAAATCTTCAAATTCGTCAATATTTCATAAAACGTTATGCTTATGGTAACAAATGACTTGGTGCTTTTAGTTTAGTCCCTACGGTCAACAAATTTCAGTTCAAGGAACTACTAGGGTCTTTGAGTGGTCTCGATGTAGCTTATATAAGAAAGTGCATTTTACTGTACTGCATGGACAGACCCAGTGCGGAGGCTCCCACATGAGTGGGGGCTGGGAAGGAAAAAACGAGGCAAGCCTTTTTTTACTGTACTGCATGAAGTCTGGAAATCAGTGTAACTCTTAACTATTTGGTACAGTAGACATAGTGGGTTTAAAATCCATCATGTTATATGATCAACCTATCACTATAGCATTCTAAATAGAACCAATTCAGTATATGTTTGGGTGTTTGGGTGTGTGCTTGCGTGGGTTGTATTCTAAATACTTTTCTTCTCATTAATGCAATGATCCATAGCTGTCCTGCCTGCGCATTCAAGGGGAAAAAAGTTCAACTGAAGATAGTAGCGCAGCCAAAAGCTTTTAGGAGCCCGGGCGATCCTCATTATGCAAAAATATTTAGCTAGCAAATTATAGTATTCATCTTTGATATAAAGAAAATTTTCTTTTGAACTTCGCCGACGAGCCTGGCCGGTGGCCTGGGATGGCCGGGAAGTGGCTCTGCCACTGACTGGAAAGTTATAGCAGCAGAACATTCAAAGACTAACTGCCTTTTATCTTGTTGAGTTTCAGTATAACACATGGAATTTATTTTCCCTGAAAAGACGTAAAGAATAAAAAGGCAGATAAGAGGTCCAAAATAACAGACAGAAGGATTATTGTGGAGTAGTTTTTTTTACTTTTTAGAGCTCTCTGATATAGTCCTTCCACATCTCATGCATTGGTTTATAGAAGTCATACCTGCAAGACCAAGAACATCAGGTGCTTGTAGACTCCAAAGTTTTTTTTTTCTTATGATCTATAGACTCCAAAGGTAAAGAAATTATGTGGAGATTTGAGCAAGGATATAAACTGTTCTTCATTCATTAAGAAACTCTGTTTTCTTTCCATTCGTTCGCCAAAGAAACCAAAAAAGGTCATGTTTTTTGGTGGTGAGGTATCAATCTATGGGCAATCTCAGAACAGAACTTACTTGTGGAATGTACCATCTAAATCAAATGAACCACATTTCTTATGTTGTTTGAGAGACATGTGCCTTTTTGATCGCTTTGAATGAATCAGCAAAGATCTTGCTTGGGCATCCACTAATCTAGGACCCCTTTGAACATAATTATCCAAAAGGATCCCTTTTTCCAGCTTCAACTTTTTGGCTCCCTTTGTAATTTTCCCAGCATCTCCGCTTTTCTGAATTATGTCATATATAACACTGTGAACCATCCTCCCATTGCACGCCTTTCTCATCCAAATCCTAAACCAAAGTTCACCCATGAGCGTTTATTAGAGTCCTGCCTTTCTCGTTGTAAATAACATATAACAATAAATTTTATATCGAGAACCCATAATGAGAGGAATATTTACCGAGACACCATCTTTGGACAAATTTTATTCTTGTAGGCAAAAGAAATACTTCTCCTCCACTGTCAGGATTGATTTCTTCACCTACAAAGTTCAAAGTATTTGTTGCACAGGTACACACAGCCATATCACTTGATACATGTCCACACATAGAGAGAGGGATAGGGAGGTTACCTGAGGACGCTCTTTTCATCCTTTTTTGTTGACTCTTAGAACTGGAAAATGGATTCTACACCTGAAAAGCAGCAGCAGCATGATGGAAAATGTCATCCAAGCTGAAAGGTTGCCTCCGTTGCATAAAAACCATTGAATAATGAAGAAAACAAAACCTTTATGAGGAGAAGGCTGGGCATATCCTTGATCGAGAGTGATTTCTGGACCATTGCCTTTCCTTGGTGCATCAAATTTAGGCTTAGGGGTATTAAAATTGCTCTTCTTCTGACTCTTAACCTGTTCATCTTGTCATTTCTCCTTTTGCAGCAGTATACTATTGGTGAAGGGCTTCAACGTCCTTTCTTCTGATCAGAGATAGTCGACATTGATCCTTTAGGAAGCCAATACCAGATACTGAAACAACAAAAAGCTATACCTTAACATGGCAACAACCCAAAATATTTGAAGCTGCACGAGCACAACAAATGTCTATAACTAGAATTGGATACTGAAAAAGGCTACTCCTTCCAATCACAAATGTAAGAACATCCTCCAAAACCATCCTAGGCCAATTTGGTTGTGGAAGCATGTGCCTTGTGCTACTAAAAGTAGTGATTGCAACTGAAACAATACGAAAGTACATGACATTAATTTAGCATAATAGAAAATCATAGTACGAATGCAGAAGACAGTAAAGCATTAAGAATTGACAAATTCAGAAATGGAAACACAGTATTTGCATATTCAACATGCATATATACTCAAGCAGATACATTAGTTTGTGTGGTGATTAAATTTTTACCATTTACATCGATCAATACAGCTACAGGCTGCAGGTAAGAATGATCTGAATTCTGTGTCATTTTCTTCCCAATTTCACAACAACTACACAGTAATCCATGAAACTTAAAATCGAGTTTTCCCAAAATTTCCCTATTTTATATGAAACCCTAACACTAACCCTAAGGGATACAACGGGGAACTTACCTTCGATTGTTTGCCATTGCTGTGCAGGGCCCGGACGGACCTTCAATCGTTTGCCATCGCTGTGCAGGGCCCGGACGGAACAGCATAGTCTAGGGCGCAGCCGCCGCACGTCTCACAGTTGACCCACGACCTCGCCACTTGTGCTTCGTTTCTTGTGCTCTAGAATGCCAAGCACCTCCACCCGAGGCCGCATCGACTTGGCCGGACGTCGGCGAATCCGGGGAAGGCGGAGGGGGCGGATCTGGGGCGGATCGAGGAGAAAGAGCCACACGTGCTGCCGCCGCGCCTAGGAGAGGGAGGGGACCTGCGCACGGCTGTTGCCGCCTGGGAGGGAGAGGCTCATGCGCCTGCGCCGCCGACCAGCCGGGAGGGGAGAGAAGCGTGCTGACATTTTTTTCGGTGGAGGCTTGAGGGAGAAGTAGCTACGATTTGGGGATCGAAGGCGGCGGCTGGGTTGGAGGGTAGGGTTTACCAATAGACGCAGTCTAACTTTGGTCTTGTAACGCAGACCTGGGCCAAAATTTGTGCATAGCCGGGCCGGGTCGTGGTGGGGCGCATGAGTGCACCTGGGCCAAAATTTGTGCATGGCTTTGTTCTTGTTAATTTTTTTAGCTTGAACTACCAACATGTAAAAAAAAAACCCATACAGATTAGTAATATAAGATGGATGTTTCTAGATTCATGATGAAATACACTTCCATAAAAAAAATTATCGATCATAGATTCTATTTAACATAATATACTTTTATTGATAATATAGTTTCATGATAGATTCTATTTAAGATAATATACTTTTATCAATATTCGGAATCAAATTGCAGACTATCCTAATGGACTTTGATTAGTGATTGTGTAATTGGAGCAAGTACCAAGTAGTACCATAAAAGTGTGACAAACAGTCCAGTGTATTTGCAAATGCATAGCACACACCTTAACTGACACCCAACAAGACAACTGGCAAATGGTCATAGTCTCATACATAACGATAACATTAACCAAATGGATACGGTGGCTGTGGACCTAGCAAATCGAAGGGAATATTGTCTCAGTAGCACACCTGGCGAAGAGGTTTTGCTAGCATACTACTATTTCAGCTGTATATGCAATTTTAGAACTATCTATCTCCTCTCTGTCTCTCTCCGTCATACCACTCTGTTAATTGAGGAGCCCCTGAACCATAAACACATGTTTCAATCTGAGACAGCTCCTCTGGTGTGCTATTTCATCAGCCTCCCACATGCCTGCGGTTGCTCCTGTCCAGGGTTTGCCTGTTGCTTTTGCTCGACTTTAGCTGTCCCTCTTGGATTCAGCAGCATACCAATGATCTCTAGTGACGATGATGGTGGTGGTGGTGGTGGAGCTGAAGGAGACATGCTCTGTTGAGTAGAAAGGGAGATATGCCTGTAAGGTTGGAGATGAGGGCGTTGTGGTAGTCATGGTGCTATGGACATTGGGTCAGAGCGAGCTGCTGTGAACTATGCAGCACGGATGTGGAAATGCGGATACGGCAATTTCCTAAAAAATCCGATATGTGGATACGTTTTACTATTTAAAAATAAAAAGACAATAACGTATATTAAAACTGACATAACAATAAAACATTGCAATCTACTTAGATACTTAAGTTCTATTATTACATAACAGCATGTCTCAACTCTCAACTCTCAAATTCTCAAATATAGTAGTCTCAAATATAGAAAAGTAATAAAAGGCATTCAGGCTCACATCAAGTTCCTATTTCCTCATTTGTTTCATTCTCATCCACAACATCAAGCTGCAGATCACCCAAACCAAAAAGAGACACCTTGCAATTCAGGCTCATCAAGTGGGAGAGATCAAGGAGGAGAGGTCAGCCACTTCGAGAATGCCAATATCACAAAGTGAATCAAAAGAATCTCCTCCCGCATCCCACTGTCTTGTATGCATCAATCTTCTTGACAAATGCCTCAGTGGGGGGCAAAGAAATCAAGCAACAATAGAGTAGATCGAGAAGTGAGAATAGGGAAGGGCAGTGGTGGACCCAGGTTTTCGCAATGACTAGGGCCTGTTTGGTTTGAAGCCAAACCTTGCCACACTTTGCCACTCCTAAGTTTAGTAGAGTTTGATTAAGTTAGCAGTTGTTTGGTTGTAGCCACAAACTCTGGCAAGATTTTTTTTCTACCAGCTTGGACCCACATGTTGGTGACTATAAAAAGTGTGCAAGATTCCCCTAGGCTAGCCAAAATGCAATTTGATGAACTAACCTTAGTCCAATTTGACAAGAAATTGTGGCAAACGTTGGCATTCTTAATGTACTAAACTACCTATACAGATCGGTCCACATATTGATAAACTAGAGATATAAAAGAAAATGCACATACTTGAACATCAATATTTTTTGGTCCAATAATAAACTATATACAAAAACATGAGAAAACATAAAGCGATACAAAATCAATGCGTAATTATTGGAAATTTGCTTCATATAAGGCCACCATGCATGTCTTTAGAGAGACAAGTTAAATATGTAAATGAAAATAAGAGACACACAATTAAATTAGTTATTCATCATACATTGCTAATCGATATTCTAATGGTCTATTTCATATAATGCTTGTATATGCTACAAAATAAAATGGAATCGCATTGTGTGGATGATTACTGAACGACTAAATGCGTATATACATTTATTTCATCAGAATTTGAATATAAATGAAGTGGTTGAACAGCAGAAGTACCAAAGAGGAGGGAGGGACCGAGGGAGTCAGCACTCAGCAGGGCTAGGGGCTGGACCCGAACGGGCAGACGCCCAGGGGGGCTCACGGCCGGACCGGGCCAAGGGGCCTGGAGCCTCGGAGCCTCGGAGGGCGGCGGCAGGCGCGGCGGCCTGCGCGGAGCCGGGAGGGCGGCCGGCAGCCGGCACGGTGGCAAGCTGGGCGGGTGGCGCCTGGCGCCTGGCGGCCGGTCGGCGGTGGACCGGTGGAGGCGTGCGGCGCAACGGCGGGTGGTGCTCGCGGCTCGCAGACTGCTTCTCTCATGCGAGGCAGCAGTATATCTGTATTGGGCCTTTTAGTATTGGGCCTTTACAGACTGCTTCTCTTGTGCGCGGCTCGAAGACTGCTGACTTTTCATGTGGGCTAAGCAGTGGCGGATCTCGTCGATTTAGACGCCTAGGCCACTATCAAAGCGTATATGCTCCTCGCACCGGGTCAAAATACCATCCACACCGAGTCAAATACTGATAGATAACAAAACTAACTCATAAATGCATAAGTTTAGATGATACTTAAATCCACAACATAATTGATGGAAATACAAAAGTAGTTAAAAATAATACACGAAAAAATTTAACAACTCTATACTTGTGCAACTATATAGGCTACTAAAAATCAAAGCATAATCAATTATTCATTTATGGAATTCCTAGATCGGTAAAAGTTCAATGTTAAAATAGAACTTAGATTTGAGAATATGAAATTACCAATCTCCTCTTCTATAGCAATCGGCAAGACAACAAAAATAAAACAACAAAGAAGAAAGGGTTCTCGGCAGATCCAAATGTCAAGGTCCTCTTCTGCTACCTCCACGGCTCCACTCGGCCAGTGTAGTGGCGAGCGTGCAGTGGCCACCACTTGCCGCACTGTGGGCTACTACGGCCACTCCCAAGTGGGCACCGGGCGTCGGGAGGCGATCTTGCCGTCATGTGTCCGCGTGTGGGCGTGGTGGAATGGCGAAAGTCGAGGACCGATCGTCGGCGGGGTGGAGGACCTGTGGGCAATGGGATGGGGAATCGACGGAGGGCGGTGGTCGGCGATCAAGACTCGACGCCCGCAGACTCCGGCGGCTATGGTTAGCAGCAGTGCCAAAGTCGTGAACGGTGAGGTCAGTGAGGGCTGTGGAGAGCTGAAGTTCGCCAATCCAAACTCGAGAGAGAGAAAACGGGGAGTTGGGGAGTCGGAGAACAGGCGCGCCTCTCTCCTCTCTTCTCTCTTTCTTTGGGCCGGAGTCTACAAGATTTGGCCCAACATCTAGAGTCGGGCCAGAAAACTACATATACATAAGGGGGATTTTGGGCCACGCCTAGGGCCATGGCCCTAGGCCCAAATCCGCCCTGGGTACAAGGATTATTGGGCGAACAACTAGGGCCTAGGCCCTAGGGGCCTTAGGCCCAGGTCCGACCCTGGGAAGGGGATGAATTCCTATGTTGCCTAGATATACGGAAGGGCTAGCGTTTGGACATCCGGCCACAGAACTTGTTCGGACGCTACCTGCGCCTAGATCTCATCCCGCGCCCCGCATCTCATTCCACGCCAGCACCTCCGAACACAACACGCTCGACGACCCCCACCCCCTCCCCATCGCCAACACCAACGCCGAAGCGAGATGGAGGGAAGGGAAGAAAAGGGAGGAAGAGGAGAGGAGGGCGAGGCGCATCACGCAAGATAGGAGCCGAAGCCCTGCGGTAGGCTGCTGTCCGCTAGCCACCGGCGCCATTGCAGCATGTGCACCACTTGATCTACTTTTGAAGCATTCAGATGAAATATATGCAACATATGTCTAAAACAGATAAAACTCTTGAAATATGCGATTGAACACATGCATCTATAGCCATCTGTAACATGTACAACACCAAGATCTACTTTTGAAACATCAAGATAAAATATTTGCAACATACGTGTGAAACAACCTGAAACACTTGAAACATAGGCTTACAACATACGTATTTTGTCATTACAACATATGCAACATCTAGATCTATTTTTGCAACATCCAGATGAAATGCTTGAAACAAAGGTTTCAAACGCCTAAAACACTTGGAAACATATGCAACATCTAGATCTAGTTTTGGAACATCCAGATATAACACATGAAACAAAAGGTTGAAACACTTGAAACACAGTGTTAGTCGCGCGGCCACGGCCTACCTGGTGGAAAATAGCAGTATAGATTGGCAAGGAGGACATGGATTGTGTCGGTGTTTTATAAACCGGACTAGTGAATTTATACGATTGCCGCGCTGCTCTAGGAAGACGATAGTAGCATCCAAAAGACACGGGGATTTATATTGGTTCAGGCCGGAGCCCTACGTCCAATCTCAAAGATGATCGAGTGCGTGTTCCTCGCTTGAATGCTCTGAAGTTCTTACAATAGGGGGTGCAAGAATGGTGGAAAAGGTAAGAGAGCTAGAGCTAGAAGATGGATTGCTGTAACACC